GGCATCCGAGATGTTTCTAAATGGAGTGAGAGAACAAGAAAGCCTCTAGAAGCCCTCTATGGGTATGACTACTTTGCCAGAACCTGTGAAAAGTGGGTGGATGGCATAAGCCAGTTTAAACTTCTCCCAGATGGTAGGTTACTGGGCTTCAAGTATTCTCTGCCTGTTGTAGAGGGTGCTCGAGTTCCTCCCTGCTGTTCCAGAATTGCTCAGTGATTCATGAATCCCTCCCATCATCGCACACACTCTTGTGTGAACAGAGAATACTAGTTCTTGTATACCGTGCCAGTTCTTGTGCAATCAGTCTGCCTTAATGTAGAGATAGGACTGCATGTCCAAAGGTTCATATTGTTGAGTCTTTTTTTTTTTTTGAGTCAGAGTTTCGCTCTTGTTACCCAGGCTGGAGTGCAGTGGCACAATCTCGGCTCACCGCAACCTCTGTCTCCTGGGTTCAAGCAATTCTCCTGCCTCAGCCTCCCGAGTAGCTGGGACTACAGGTGTGCACCACCATGACCAGCTAATTTTTGTATTTTTAGTAGAAACAGGGTTTCACCGTGTTGACCAGGATGGTCTCGATCTCTTGACCTTGTAATCCACCTGTCTCAGCCTCCCAAAGTGCTGGGATTATAGGCGTGAGCCACTGCGCCAGGCCCATATTGTTGAGTCTTTAATAGCAGACTGTTCTTTCTTCCTTCTAATCCTTGGTGTATATGTGATGACAAAATCCTCCAAAAGCCTTGAGCAGTTTCTATTTTCTAATTCCAGAATGAGTAATTAGAAAATAAATAGGCCACAATGTGGACAATGTTTTTTCCTTTTTACATATTTAGATGTGTCACCCCACAAGGACACTGTTATCTTCAACCTCAATGGAATTAATACGAGGAAGAAAATATTCAGGATTTTTTCCTATCTTTAGAACTAAGTTATATGACCTTAACTATGAACAAATATCTCCTATTCTTTATGTGAAAAATTAACGAGATTTCCTGTTAAAGTAAGGATTGACATCTTTAAGAGAAATTCTGAACTGTAGTTTATTTTGATATAGCTATTGATGGTTATAATCTCATTTTTCCTTTTTTTTAATTGCTGAGAAAATAGAGTAGCTAAGATCTAATCTTGGAGTGCATTGTTACAAAATGGTTGTGATTGAAGGACCAATTTGATCTATTAGGTAATCGTTTCCTGCTTGAGTCATCTGCCAAAACTTTCACAATGAAAAGGACGTTTGGAAATGTTACTCTTCTGGTTTGAGTTGAAAACAGCAAATGTATGTTTTACAATGTTCCTGTTCAGTATCTACTCATAGAAACAGGCCCTGGAAACCTCTGCTCTTAAAATTTTTAAAATGCCGTAAAACAGTGTTTGAGACAGTTCTCCATTAAAGAGGTCACGTTTGTAAATGTAAACTTTTATGTTTTAGTGAAAAGATAGGAAGATTTAGAGGTAGAAATAGAGTTAAGTGAGTAATTCAAAAATATGTCATGATATAGAGGCCATTGCAGTGTATAAACTGTCTCACAGTGAGACCTTCGTGATGTGTCCCCCTCTGTGCTGACTAATTTGGTAGGAGCCCTTTTTTCCTAACTGTCCTCTCAGGTTTATGGATGTTTAGGATAGCATAGGGATTCATTGCACAGCGCTGGAGTCTGATGGGCCTGAGTGTGAATTCTGGCTGTGTCCGTGGGTTGCTGTTAGAATGGATCTGGGCAGGTAACGTAGCTTCTTGAAGCTTTAGTTTCCTGTCTGGGACCTCGAAAAGCTGTTGTAGAGATTAAATGAGATATTATCTGTTCAGCTTCGGTGCAGGATCAAAGACAGTAAGTGCCTCATGAAAGGTTAGTATTACTATTATTATAAAAGTACTTAATGGAAAAACATTTTCATATGCTGAATGAGTTAAAACATGTAACTACTGTGTTTAACAGACATGAAATTGTTTAAACACTTCCTGACACAAAGTGAGCTCTCAGCAACGTTGGCTTTCATCATCACATGATGATGAATTGGCAGGTGTGTGTCATCTTGGGACAGGTGAGGGAAGCGTCAGAGACCTGGAGGAGTATTTCCCTAGTCAATAGGTCCCCTTCTCACTTAGCAGGCAGTGACTCCCCGCTGAGGAGGAGGGAAAGGCCTGGCGTCTGTGCAGGGCAGGGCAGGGAGCACCACACTGTGGGGGCAGCTCCCAACCTTCTCAGAGCTGCAGTGCTTTCCTCTGGACACACACAGGTAAGGAAGGGAGAAGGAAAGAGCTAGCTTAGGGATGTCAGGAACCTTAGCTACAACTCTCTTTTTAGCCCCACAACAGCCAAGGGAACTGTGATTGTTCCTGTTTGAGGCTAAAGCTCCCAGTGGTTAAGGAGCCCCCACAGTCTTGCGGAGGCAGGAAACTGCAGTACAGGAACTAGAGGGACTAGAGCGCAGGCTGTCCATCATCGCCTCAGGAAAGTTGTTATAAATGGGAGTCAGTCCTTACAGGCTCTCCAAAGTATGTTAGTCAGGAGTCTCATGGAGGTGCCAGCGATCAGGAGAAGCTACTTTCCCATGTGTAAGTTGTATAATAAGTTCATCGTGAGGTTCATATGCTTTGAGGGCTGGCCGGGGCCCCTGTGCTCATCTGAAGTGTGATCTCCAGGGAAAAGCTCTACAGGCGTCAAGCTATAGAGCTATAGAACCACCGCTATAGAATATTGTGGTGGGGTGTTTATTTGATTTTCCTACTATTTTATGTGAATTTAAATCAGGCTGCTTGTTTACGAATAGAACTCAGAAACAGCAAACAAATGAGAAACAGAAAAGGAACCCCAAAGAAAGAGCTGGAAGAACCCCAAGCGTGGTCAAATCCAAACCACGGTTTTCACAGATAGGGAAACTGAGGGCTAAAGAGGGGCAGGGCTCGCCACGTTTCCCTTCCTCTGACTGTGCAGAATGGTTGCTCTAAAGCAGATTCCTTGTGCTGTGTGTCCTTCAGGTAACATCTGCCGGCACCTGCTGCCCCAGGTCCAGTGCCCCACCTTGATTGTGCATGGCGAGAAGGATCCTCTGGTCCCGAGGTTTCATGCTGACTTCATTCATGAACACGTGAAAGGCTCACGGTAAGCCCAGTCACCACCTTCACACTCCCACCCCAGAGCCTCGGAGTCAACGAGCGAAGCTACTGGAAGGAAAAGAAGCAAGAGGAGTTGGAGTTTTTAGAGCACACACCCCCACTTTTTGCCAGTGACAGTCAGTAGCACTGCTTTATTTAGGGGTACCAGGGAGTATGGAACCCCTGAACTGCGGGTAACTGATAACCAGAAGGAAAGGCACATTCAGATAGATGGCTCTTACTTCTATGAGTGGCAGATATGCTCATAGGTGCTAAGCCCTGTCACTTGGTGATAGTTTAGGTTTATTTCCACCAGTATTAACTGAAACAGTTTTACACAATTTGGGAATTTTCAGCTTAGTTTCTTATCATTATAAAAGCGCTGACCACCCAATTTTTAAAAATCTGTTAAACCAAAAAAGGAAAATAAATTGCCACGGCTAGCCGGCCATTTAAACACTATCATTATCAGGATTTTTATACACAGAGATAATCGTATTCTATATTCAGCTCAATCCTGCTTTTTTCCCTGCTTAATATTGTAAACTTTTCACTCTAAGCTATTTTAGCCTTAAAGATGGACACGTTGTAAAGAGAAACCCATTATTTATTCACAATTACAAAATACCAACATATTCCAAGCCATGCGGGTGGCTCGCTTGATTAAGGAGCAGCTACAAATCCCTTGTTCTTTTCGTCCAGGTTTCTGCCAGCCAACCTTGGACATCAGAGAACCTTACAAGATATGTCCATTGAAATTCTGTTACTCAACCCCATCAATTTTTGTATGAAATAGAAATTTCTATTTTAAATACTTCGGCTGACACAGGAGCCAGCCTTCTTGGCATTTTTATCAAAACAGACATGCCAACTTGAATAAATTCATTGTCTCCTTTACATAAAGGGATGCATATCCTGGAGGTGAAAATCAGGGGTAACTGGGAGAGTAGGGGTCTGTTTGGTTTTTTGTTTATTTATTTTTATTTTATTTATTTATTTTTTGAGGCAGAATCTCACTTACTCTGTCACCCAGGCTGTAGTTCAGTTTCGTGATCTCTGCTCACTGCAACCTCCACCTCCTGGGTTCAAGTGATTGTTCTGTTTTAGCCTCCCAAGTAGCTGGGATTACAGGCATGTGCCACCATGCCCAGATAATTTTTGTATTTTTAGTAGAGACTGGGTTTCACCATGTTGGCCAGGCTGGTCTCAAACTCCTGACATCAGATGATCCACCAACTTGGCCTCCCAAAGTGCTGGGTTTATAGGTGTGGACCTGTAATTTGTTTTTTTAGATAGATATATTAGAAAATAAGTATCCAAGTCCGGGTGTGGTGGCTCACACTTATAATCCCAGAACTTTGGGAGGCCAAGTCAGTGGATCACCTGAGGCCAAGAGCCTGGCCAACATGGTGAAACACTGTCTCTACAAAAAATATAAAAACTAGCCAGGTATTGTGGTGGATGCCTGTAATCCCAGCTACTCTGGAGGCTGAGGCAGGAGAATCACTTGAGCCTGGGAGGCGGAGGTTACAGTGAGCCAAGATCACGCCACTGCACTAACAGCCTGGGTGACAGAGTGTGACTCTGTCTCAAACAAAAAAACAAAAAATAAACATCTAAATAAGCCTTGACCCCTTCAGAGCATATATATTAATTTCATATGCCTCTGAATTACTCAGGACGTCTTTGAAATTTTATTGGGATTTTTTTTGAAATTGGATTTATTAGCAACCTTGGAAAATCCTTCTTCCCTCCCTCCAGGAGCCAATTTCTGATGCCTGCTGACACCAGCGCCGCTCAGCACAGTTAATGGTAGTGTTCCCTGTCCCTAAGGCCCCCAGGCCAGCAGAGAAAGCAGGCACAGAAACAGCTCCACTGCTTCCTTATCGCTCTGCTCTATGATATATTTAACAACAGATTTCTCAGAGAATTTTTAAATGGGGAAAAAAATGTTTCTTTTCTATAATAAAATACAATTACCATAAACCTTTATAATCCTATATCCATAATGGATAAAATACAATTACCATAAACCTTTATAATCCTATATCCATAGTGGATAATGCTGTATTCATTTAGCATTTTTTTAAGTTAAAAGGCATCTCTTATTCCACACATTTCCTCCTATACCAGTTCAACCATGAATCAGAAATATATATGGGCCTGTATAACAAATAATTCATTTGGTGAGAACATAGTGTCAGTGAAGAGCAGAGGTAGGAGTTAGGTAGGATTATATTGTAGGGGGACAGAAAGGTTTAATGGAGGAGTTTTTAAATTGATTTAGTAGGGGCTGGGCGCTGTGGCTTACGCCTGTAATCCCAGCACTTTGGGAGGCTGAGGTGGGCAGTTCACTTGAGGCCAGGAGTTTGAGACCAGCCTGGCCAACATGACAAAACCCCATCTCTACTAAAAATACAAAAATTAGCCAGGTGTGGTGGCAGGTGCCTGTAATCCCAGCTACTGGTGAAGCTGAGTCAGGAGAATTGCTTAAACCCAGGAGGCAGAGGTTGCAGTAAGCTAAGGTCATGCCACTGCACTCCAGCCTGGGTGACAGAGCGAGAATCTGTCTCAGAAAAGAAAGAGAGAGAGAGAGAGAAGAAAGGTAGGAAGGGAGGGAGGGAGGAAGGAAGGAAGGCAAAGAAAGGAGGGAAAAGAAAGAAGGAAGGGAGGGAGGGAAGGAAGGAAGGAAAGAAAGAAAAATTGATTTAGTAGGCAATAGTAGGTATTTTCTTTTTTTTTTTTTTTTTGAGACGGAGTTTCACTCATGTTACCCAGGCTGGAGTGCAATGGCGCAATCTCGGCTCACCGCAACCTCCGCCTCCTGGGTTCAGGCAATTCTCCTGCCTCAGCCTCCTGAGTAGCTGGGATTACAGGCACGCACCACCATGCCCAGCTCATTTTTTGTATTTTTTTTAGTAGAGACGGGGTTTCACCATGTTGACCAGGATGGTCTCGATCTCTTGACCTCGTGATCCACCCGCCTCGGCCTCCCAAAGTGCTGGGATTACAGGCTTGAGCCACCGCGCCCGGCAATAGTAGGTATTTTCAAACCAGACTTATAAAATTATAATACTAAGTTATGGTCATGGTACAAAATTCAAATAGTATACTTTCTTATTAATCCTTACAAAAGATTTTTATACTATCTTTTCTTGTGTGTTTTTAATTGTATACATTTACAGTATACAAAGTGATTATATAGCACTTACTATTTTAAAAGGTATTTTTTATACAGTATCTTAATTATGGTTTATGACAAAAACACGAAAAATATCCATTTTACAGATGAGAAATCACGGCTGAGAGATGTTAAGCCATCTTTCAAGCTTGCATAGCTAGTCAATAACAAATCTTAGATTTGCTTTTCTCCTAATATGGTACTTTTCCACCATAGTACAGCTGCCGCTTATCTCTTAATATGTATGATGGTAACATGCCTAGAATAAGATACCAGGTGACCTGGTTAATTGTCTTCCAGCTTTAGAAATGACAGGTTTTTGCACAGTGACACACATAGTAAATGCAGTATGTGCCCTTAAAGAGCCAGTGTCAGTTAAAGTCAGTCTGCAGGAAAGCTTAATTTAGGAATTCTGTTCCAGGCCCATCTCCTAGCAACAGAGTACATCAGTATAGGAGAAAAACACCCTTACTGTGCAGATATGAATTGTTTTAGTAGACTGTTTTGTGGAAGATCACTTTCTTAGAGCAATATTCTTTGGAAGAACTAGGTTGAGTATAAGTGGTATTAGCAATGACTGTCCAAAAATGGCTTGTATTTTCTACTTATTACCTTCCTTTGCCTTTTATGTTGGGCATGAGCCTACCTAGAATGTGGCTGGTTTATTTTGGTCCCCACAAAAGGAAGGCAGATTCCTTGAGTACCAAAACCCAACCGTGTTGTGCGCACCAGGCCATCTGACAGCAGGGAAGCAACTTGGTATAGCAAACTTCCAGTGAACTGGATATTTCATTCACTGCCTTGCCAGGTACTTTTGTTTTTTTGAGATAAGGTCTCACCCTGTCACCCAGGCTGGGGTGCAGTGGTGGGATCATAGCTCACTGCAGCCTCGAACTCCTGGGTTCAAACCATCCTCCCGCCTCCCACAGTCCTGGGATTACAGGTACAATGCACGATGCCCGGCTGCCAGGTACACTTTTAATTAAGCTTAAAGGAACAGACTGGCTCATGCCTATAATCCAAGCGCTTTGGAAGGCTGAAGTGGGCAGATCACCTGAGGCCAGGAGTTCGAGACCAGCCTGGCCAACGTGGTGAAACCGCGTCTCTACTGGAAATACAAAAATTAGCCAGACGTGGTGGTGAGCACCTGTAATCCCAGCTACTCAAGAGGCTGAGGCAGGAGAATCACTTGAACCTTGGAGGCAGAGGTCGCAGTGAGCCGAGGTCACGCCACTGCACTCCAGCCTGTCACCAGGAGTGAACTGTCTCAAAAATAAAACAAACAAAACACTTAAAGGCGCAGACTTTCCCTTCCCAGATTTTTACCAGGATATACAGATTATGTGTGAAGCCGACACCACACTGCCTTTCATGCCTCGGAAGGAGGCTGAACAAAGGGAGGTCTACTTCCAGCTTATGTTAATTTGCCTCTTTCTGTCTTCTCTGCCTGTAGTAGAAGAAAAATAAGAATCTCTTGAAAGCAAAGAGGCTTCAGAGATTATTCAAGCTCAGTGGTTTTAAAGTGTGTTTTTAGTCAGTTGAAGCTTTTCCTCTAACAAACTCTTATGCAGAAGCCTAAGATATGAAACACAAAATGAGAGCTGCTCAGATGGCAGCAGTGATGGGGTGCTGGCTTTACCTTTCTGCCTCCCGTGTCCAAATTTCCTCATAGAAGGACAGCAGTCTTAATGGATTTGGACCTACTCATATGACTTCATTTCAAAGTAATTACCTCTTTAAACGCTCTGTCCAAAGGAGGTCCCACTCTGAGATGCTGGGGGTCAGGATCTAAGCATATCAGTATGAGGGGTACAATTCAGCCCATC